CTCAAGAACTGAGCGACTGTAGACTTCATCTCACGCAGAACAAACTATTGCGCGCATCTCTGCTTCACACGAACAATGGACAACTGCTCAATGCGTGGAATCCTCCTGGCGTTGACTTTATGTGGCTCTTGTTTCCACTCCAATCTGAATCTGAAAATGTCTCCAAGCACCAATAGCTTCTCCTTTCTTGACATAGCCTTCTCCTGTTTCTGGAAATTCAACTACTAGACAATAGTCTATAGCCTTCTTCAAGTATCCTAAGAGCTTCTTCAAGTGACAAAATGACATAGCTGTTGGATTTGACATTCTTGGAGCCAATTCCTACATTGTGAACGCTACGTCATACGTCTCTTGAGGCAAGTAGATACCTGATCCAACAATGCTTCTGAGTATAGGCTAATCTTCTCTTGGTCGTGTAAGACTCCTGATTTGTCTTCCATCTGAATTGAGTTGCCTGATGGTAACTGCTGAAATTTGATCTCCCCAATCTTCTCATCATAGGCTTTCAGCGTCTGCAGGGTGTAGTTACCTGGCTGGATCCATAGTCCATCTTTCTCAAGTTTGCACTTTCTCCTCACTTGAACCTTTGGGAGAAAGATTCCATTGATGTATCTTGAATCATAGGACCGGATAACCCCACATGTTAGCAACTTAGCAAGAGGGAATGTCTGCGTAGGTGGTTGGTGACAATTGGTGGGTGGCAATTGGTTAGTGTGACAACTGATTGACGACAATTGGTTGAAGGCCATGTTATTTAAAAACAGGCCCTCAAAAATAACCCTTTCAGAAGGGCAGCGACCCACCAGCGCCGGCCAGCACTGTTTGCGAAAGAAGAATCCTTCGTCAACTCTGTTATATTCACCAAGACTTTGTCTACATCCATTAGGCTCAATTGTAATTCACATTCATGGTCTTCATCCTTCTTTTCTTCTTCTTTCTGACCTTCTACCTCCTTCTCCGGTGGAGTTGGGGTAATCTTTTTCGATTGCCTGCTCCACTTCTTTCTTTCTGTCTTTCTTTGCGTTCTTCTTTTTTCTGTTTTCTCTATTCTTTTATGTTCTTTTCTTGTCTTGTCTTGGCTTTACTTTTCTTTCTTTCATCTCTGTACTCAAGCTCCTTGTATCCTGGTGCAAAGAACCCCGTATCTTCTGGCGGCGCTGGCTCAAAGCTGAAGATTGCGATTGAAGGAATGACGCATCATGAACACCATCATCATCATCAAAGAATTGCTCTACGTTCCTCTTTTTCATCATACTTTCACAATATTCACGCATTAGCCATGCGCCGCCTCTTTTCACCAAACTGGTTCTCATCAACTCTTGGAAATTCTTCCACTTCTGGAATGACTGTGGGGTCTACAAATAGTGAAGTCAATAAGCTTCCAACTAGTCACCATTCTCCAACCATTGCCCGCTGCCATTGATTCCCCAACCATGTTCCATCAGCCTTCCACAGCGTAGTTCACCTTTGAACTGAAGATCACATTCTCTTGGAGCAGTACTTCACGCCCAAGGTCACGCAAGGAAATTTCAACGCTTTTCGCACTACCGGTGGGGATACGGTTCCCCTGCGCATCTTGTAGCCCGGTCTTTGTACTGAATTCCAACTCTCCTTCCCCGCGGTCTGCCATACTGAAAGGGAATAATGCAACATCAGCTCAACTGTCAATAACGATGCCCACATCTTCATTCTCTTCCCCAAATCTCCTCACTCTGAGTTCACCATCTGGGATGTCAGATTGCTCAAATTCCTGGATCCCTGGCCCATCATCATCATCTCCAACATAGAAGTGAATTACCCGCAAGTCAAAGATGATTGGCTCACTGCTCTCCATTCTCCTGACCGCTGGTTTGGTCTCTGCTGAGCTACTCTGCTGGCCAACACTGTCTTGTTGTTGACCAACTGTATGAGAAGTCACTGATGCTCCTCCTGGGCTGGATCACTTGCTACCTGTCGAATATTGTTCCTCCAACTGCCCTTCCACAAGTGTAGCATGTTGCCACACCTTTACCTGTTTGGTCTTTACCTTTGCCTTTGCCCTTCTGATCACCTTCTTGTCCTTTCTGACCTCCGTTTCCTTTCTTCCCTTTGCCTTTGGCATCCTTACCTTTGCTCTTTAGCTGGTCATTCTTGCCCTTGTTACCTTTTCCTTTGGCACCTTGGGCTCGACCAATGTCCATTGGCGTGGGTCTTTGACAGTCTGTACTGCTACTTGCCACCATGGAAGTAGCCCGCTTCTGCTGAGAACGATCCCATTCCAACACTTGTTCCCCCTCAAAGCTGGGTACTGAACATTGTCGCCAATTGTCAAGTTCAAGTATGATTTGAGCTGTCCACCTGCACATCTCAAAAGAATAGCAAGCTCCAACTCTTCTTGACTTGTAGTCCCTGCCTCGACCGTCTCATCAAATACTTCTTCAAGTGTCAAAAGTTGAGGTTGCAGTGCACTGTTCATTGAAAATGATGGCCACGGAGTGGCTGCTCCCCAAAAGCGCTAATCCCCTAGCCTTTGAAGTAGGTTTCAAAGCTTGGCTCAAACTCCTCCAGGCATCAAATCCATTGGAGTCCTCCACAGCTTTCACCAATTGCGGCGCTCTTCCCCTCAACAATGAAGCTAACAATCCAAAAAGCTTGATGCACAAGTTCTTCTCTGCCTCAGTTGCCACGTCCATGTCAAACTTATCAGTTCACTTTTCATGAATTTCGTTCAGGACCTTCATGTGCCCCTCATCAGCTGCGCTCAAAAACTTCTCAAATACCCATGACCACTCTCTGAATGCCTTTATCTTTTCTTCTTGCGACCTATAATCAAAGATGTTGGGCTTTGCTATCAATTTGTTGATGACTTCTTGTCTTCAACTGCTTTCTTCACCGCCTCAGCTGCTGATGTTGTTGCCAGCGTACTCTGTGCTATAGTTTGAAGGATTTCTCTGATCTCCTCCATCTCCACTGCATGCTCACGCCTTTCTGAAACCAAGGTACGGTGTACAGAGCGTCGCTCACAACAGTTTATCACCAGTCCAGCTGTTTGGGTTCCAAAGGCCCCAAACCTATTGCTCGAAACCGCACCCAGGATCCCAGTGACCTAGGGGCTTTTCTTCCTGGAGCTCAAGGGGGGTTACCCTTATCCCTGCTCCGCTACCATGCGAACTGTTCTCTTGATCAAAAAGGGCTTCAGTCGAGTCAACTACACAGAGTGAAATGCTGATGATGTCATGTACATACTCTGTAGTCTGCACTGAAATGCTACACACGCATATATATATATATATACAGTATATACATCCATCCAACCATGCTTGCAAACAATTTGTCAGAGGGTCCAAAGGCAGAGTGATTATAGAGAGACATAATTAAAGAATTTGCACAAGGGTCCAAAAACTGCGCGATTGTAGAGACACTTCTCTATATGATTCATCCACTTCATGCTGCGTTCATCTCTAAGTTTGGTGTCGAACATGCAAATTGTATGATTTATTGTCCATTCATGTACAGTATGTATATATTCATGTCATTCTCGGCATCCCTTGAAGTTGTGCATTTTCAGGATGTCCAAACTATATTGTTGGATATGACAACTTTGAATATAATTTGGGCTCCTGAAAAATGTACAATTTCAAGGGGCATCACTGGACAAGTTTTCCGTGGGTCCAAAAATAGAGTGATTATAGATAAATACTTCTTTAGTCTAGTCATCCACTTAATGCTGCATCTCTAAGTCTTGTTTAGATCACACGGTATATTCTTGTAAATATATAATTATTATATATATATATATATATCTCTTCGACCCCTTGAAAATGTACAATTTCATGGGTCGAAAAATAGATCCAACAATGCATGCAAAATGCAAGTAAGACATAACTAAACACTGTTTCAAAGTGTCCAAAAATAGAGTGATGATAGATACTCTCTCTCTCTCTCTCAAAGCCACTGGTGCGGGCCGTTGTTGTCACGAAGCAACCAACCTGAATACTTACATCACCCTTCTTTGCCGACAGTCGGGGCGTTCTAAGAATCTGTGTCAACTGTCGAATGTCGCGCGGCCCCTGCGGAAAATCAGTTGTGTTCTTGCCACTGATTGTGGGAACACACATACCTCCTATACTGGCCCTGCACACGCGAAAACAATGTTGGCGATGAGGTTCTAACTCAAAAAAGCAAAAACGCCTGAAACCCGGGCTTTGAACACATTCGAAGTCGTGGACAAAACAAAGAGTTGTTCTTTGTGCAGGGGACCCGGTCAGCAATGATGTCTTGTTTCAGGAAAACTCCTGCCAATTCATACCCAATTCATTAATGTTATATAAACTGTTCGACTTGTCAGTTTGTCAAATAATGTGTTGGATCAAGTTGGATCCCCTGACAAGTACACAGCTCGGCTCAGAGCTTCTGCTTCTATCAGTCTTTGTACTTAGGCCGCGAACCCAATGTAGCGAAGCGAGTACTTGTTCTTCGTCTCACAATTGCCTGTTTGGATGTCCTGCAGGTGCGGCCACAAGAAGCCCGGCACTCTCATAGAACAATCCTGCCACAAATATGGCACAAGCGCATGCAAAATTTTTTGTGAACCCAGCAAAATGCGCTCTGAAACGCTTCAACATGCCCGTGTCATTCGACAGTGGTGTTGATTGTGTCCCAGGCAAAACTGCTTCAACAATCTTCAACAGAACCCAAGCCGTGCGAAAAGGAGTTCAAGTTTTTGGAGCTAGTTGCGTGCATCTTTCATCGTGCACAATGCCATGATAACCTTTGGAAGCCATTTTGCCAATGCCCCTTTTGGGCTATGAATTACAGCCCAAAGAAAGACTTCCTGTGGCTTCATCATCGAATTAGCTGCACAACTGTTCTCAAGAGTAGCCAAAACGATGTTTGACAAGCAAAAGCCATATTCAAAACGCCGTAGTAGGGTGCCTCGATTCCTATTTGTTTATATATCTACAGTATATATATAATTAAGAAACATTGATTTTAGTTTGGAGTTCATGAAAGTTCTCCGGTCAATCGCTCAGCTCCAATAGACTGCTCAGGTTACTGCTGTCAACCTGTTTGTGCGCACAAATGCCACAAGCTCGAAAAGAATGACTCTTGTTTCAATGACTCGCCAAACGATCCACTGCCAGTCAGGTAAAACTTCGAAGGCCATCAACACATTTTTTGGTATCTTTCTGACATCGTCTGCTGCGGCCCCACATCGAAGCAAATGGAATCTGTTCCACTTGAAAGGTCTCCGAGCAGCACTAAGGTCCAAGGACATGGGGATAGGATTCACAGGAATGAAGCGGGTGCCTCCAAGCTGATCAGAATCATAGGTGAATTGTTCTTTTTGATGCTCATTTAAAAGAACAAGTAAGAAAGGTATGAAACAATGAATGGACGCTTTAATCAATTGCTCGGCCAGGCTAGCTGAGTGAGACAAGATGCCAATGAGTGCAGCAGTTTTGGGCATTTTCTGCAATTTTCCTCCAAGGCAGGCTCAGGGGTGAACGTTTAAGGTTAAGAGAATGCCATTTCTCCCAGGCCATATTTAATAGGAAAACAACTGCTGCAAGAGATCAAGCAGGTTCGAATAGGACGCCTGTCAGCTTGGCAGGATAGTCATCTTGAACGTACAGGGTTGCTTCAAAGGTTCGGGGAAATGCCATAATCTGCCTAGCCCTTGTCTTTGGTGACTTTGTAGAGTAAAAACAAGGCGAATTACAATGCATCACACAAATCTGATTATACTTTGCACTCCAGTCCTCGTAGATCTCCAAAGCATTTCGGCACAGATTGCCTCCAAGGGTCGTCTTCATGCGCTGAGAATGGCCAATCAATCATTGGCAAAAAACCAATTGCCTTCAAAGATAGAAACTCAAACCTATCTTTACACCACGCCTGTTTGATATTGCAACAGTCCGCGCCTAGGAAACTGTCCCAGCAAGACCGGCAAAGAGTTGGTTTGAACCTGAAGCAAAGCACAAAATACCTGGCGTCAAAATAAACAGATTTGCTGCGCTGGCCTCGGGAGGTGAGGTGATGGCAGCCTTCAAAGCAAAGTCTATCACGCGAGCACTTTATGAAAAATTTGAATTCGCCTCATGTTCTTCACCATGTCCCTCCACATGCTGCCGCTCTGGCCGAGTGGATTTAGGCCGACACCGCGGCCGCTCTTTGGGCGTGTCGGACCTCCAACAACAAACTGAAACAAGTGCTCCGTGATGCTCCGTGTATATACTGTTTTCCCCAAGCAGTGTGGACGCACTTAGAGGTTCTTACGGTCGAAGCAAAACAGCTGTGCTTAGATCGCTGTGCCGCGCGGGCGTGCGCGGCCAATTCGCTGCTATTTACAATACACTCATGCCTCTCGACATCGTCAATGTGCACTTCGACTGCGCAGGCTCGCGAAATCTGGGTAGCGGGGACGGGTGCGTGTCGCGACTGCGCTCTCGTTGCGGTGCCGTGCGCATTCGCACATGGCTCACTTTTCGTGGCAAGTGCAAGGGAAACCTCGTGTTTTGGTGGTCCAAAGTTGCCTTTTCGCGACAGGTGCAAGGGATCGGAGCTGTTTTGCTTCGATATGCAATTTTCGTGGCAGGTGCAGCACTTTGGACATGGTGGTGATCGTAGAGGAGCTCTGATTTCGTGATGCAGATTTTGTGGCGTGACCCTCAACGAGCAGAAGCAAGCACCTTCAGAAGAAAAGAACACATGCATACATACATACATACATACATACATGGCTCAAGGCCACGAGCTGCTCAAGCAGGTAGCCAACAAAGACCTGCTGGTGCGTATCCCCCAGGCGCACATAGCCGGGAGAATCACAGCAAGAAGGGCCCAACCCGAACGACACCTACAAAACATTCTTTGCCCGCAATCCGCTCTTCACCATCCTCGCTTTGGCAGAGAATCACGGTGGCTGGCAATTGCTTGCCCTGGACATCAATCAGGTGATCCTTTTGAACTACCTCCTCACTCCTTCGGCCTCTACTACCACTTTGCCCGTGATCCCTACGAGATCCAGTACCTTCCAGGCCAGAACGAGGTCGGTGCCACAGCCATGCAGTGGGGACGAAACTACATGGTTTGCAAGAGCACCAAATGCTCAAACTGGATCTGGACAGATAAGGTCAGAGCAGGCACAAAGTGCCGGGACCTGGTGGCCACAAGAGACCAGCGCAGGCAAAGGAAAAGGTCAGGGACATGGACAACCACGAGACTACGGTCATGGCAAAACCCCCTGGCCACGCAGACAGTCAGGAGAGCAGCTTTTGGACGCACCCCCCGGCCTCACTAGACTTCGGCCACTCAAGAAGGACAAGGATCAGTCCACAGCAGCTGAACTCCTGGCAACGACCTGGGGCGTCATTCCAAAACCCATACAGACCAAGTTTTGGACCACCACTGCAGGAGGAACCTGAGCTCACTGAACTGCTCAAATCCCACACGACGGCCTTGCCACAAGCAGTACAAGATGTGGTGACAAAGCTCACGCAGCCCATCCCAAACACCGACAAAGCGCTTGCTCAGAAACTCAAGACCCAGGTCACCGAGTTGAAGACAGTGTCAATCAGGAAAACCCAGCTTCAGACCAAAATTGACCATGCCGGAAGAGCTGGATACCAGCAAGGATTTCCCCATCCCCATGGCTGTTGAGACCTTTGTATCCAGCCTGGGGATTGCGTTGACCGAAGAACAGAGATCCCAACTGCATGGGCTACTCAAACGCCCTAACGCAGACGAGGATGAGATCAACAAGCGACGGAAAACTGACGCCCAGACCGCACCACCAGGGGGACAGTGTGGGTAACAGGACATGCACAGTTGGAACCACACTCCAAGGGTACTTGGCGCCAATCCCTTTGGACGACTTTGAGGGATCACCAATGACACCGGTTTGCCGTGTTGCTTCAGGCTCAGCACAGGGACATGTTTTACCAGGTGCAGGGGAACAGACACCACAATTCATGACTGACCCTCTTTTTCAATCACATCAAGGGGACCTGTCCTGTTCTGGTGAAGGGGAAATCACCACACGGGACAACACGGCGTTTCAAACACCCGTCAACAGATGGACCAATTTTGACAGGGGAGCCAAACCTGACCGAGCGCGGATGGACATCCTTGGGGAGCACCTGGATCAGAAGTGGTGATCATCAAAGGCGGCGGCATCCCGCCAGTCGAACAAGACCCAGACACTCTGGGCAAAACCAGGATGCAACAAACCTATGCATCCACAACTGAGTGCATCTCGCAGAACCTCTCAATGACGGTTGGCAATCCCAGTGCCAGGTGTTTTGCAAATGCCCCATGGAGGGCCTTCACCTTGACTTTTGCGCTGCTCCAAGAAACGCACACGCAGCCATGGGGCAATCTACATGAAGCAGTACAAGAATCCCTAGAACTTGCAGAAGCTGTTGATCTGCATCAACTCCCAGGACTACACAGCCTCTGGCAAAAGCACGACCTGAACGTACAAGGCAACGCCAACCATTTTGTGAACTCTCTCTGGAACCTGTCACAAAGCAGGGCTTTCCACTACAGGTTTGCAGAAATCCGACCCGGTAAATACTTAGTTGACCATGTGCAACAGCCCCTACTCATCGACTACCCAGACACCTGGCCAGAGAACAGCTCATTGCAAGACCTGGTCAACGGGTGGGCCAATGCTGGACTTGGCCAGTACCTCATGGACGACAAGCCCATCCTGGTGGCACACATCACCAGGAATACCTGCATCAACGACGTCATGACCAAACACAAGAAGATACTCAACCCGTATGGGACCTTCACAGCACCAAGATCACTGGGTGGTTTTGCTCGAACCTCCTCTGAGTTCGCCCCGGCTGCCCTCATCTGTCACAGGGCCAAGCCATGAGACAGGGCACTATTTTGCCATCCTCATCTACACAAATCTCATGTGGCTTGCAGACGATGGAAAGCCACCAGTTCATTTGGCACACCTGACACCACAGTTAGCCAGCCAGATAACTCAAGTCTGGGCCGTCCACATATAGCGATCCCCAAAAAGATAGAAAAGTCGGATCCTGGAAAAGTTTAGGTCAATTTCCCATATCAGACAACTTTTCTATCTTTTGTTTCGTGCTTCTATTTACACAAAATTGTCAAAATCACACAACATGACCGATGTCACACGTGCACAATCTTGTGTAAATACCAGGGAGAAAAAAGATAGAAAAGTTACATCCTGGAAAATGTTAGCCGGCTTCAATCAACTTCAAGACAAATTGGGCCAAACGTGACAGATTTTACCGCAGATACCAGCACGATACAAAAGATAGAAAAGTTCAGATTATATAAAAATCTCATATTTCCCTGCTATTTGCACAGTCATGTTCACGTGTGACCACACTGCAAAACATTCGCTGCAAGCGCATCCGGATTCCCGTATATATACATATACCTTCATATACCCTCATTCTCGGTGTTTGCTGTTGGAAAGGGAGCGACGGGCGGAGGGTTGTTACCTATTTCACACACCTCACTCAACAAAACAGCATCAGCATCCATGAGAATCATGGACACAAGATTTGTTCCCTCTTTTCCATCTTTTGTATCCCCATGCTGTTTGTATGGCCACACTCCAGTTTGCATTGTCAGACTCAGCAGAAGCAGGCCCAGATACTTGGCAGTT